TCTCTACTTTGCCCGCCAAGGAAAGAGGGTGAGAAACTCAAGAGCGTAACTCGCGCTTCGCGCGCCCTACGCGGTTGAATGCACTCCGAGATATCGTCGGAGCAGCAAAAATCTCGTTCAAATCCCATCTAAGAACTAGATAGCCAATTAAATTCCCGGATTTTGTATCTAATAGGAAAACTTGATAATGAAACTTTAAATAAATATTATAACTGACGCAAGCCTCTACTTTTTCACGATTCTAAACGGAAAATTTGTTTTAAGCTTCCCGACACTAGCTGCGTACGTGAAATATATCTCCAGTGTGCACTGTATTTCAAGCGCAAACATTCCGGATGCGAAATTGCCGTGTAGCAGCATCGCGCATCGGTCGCGAATCTCAACGGCGACTTTCCGAAACTCTCTCTCCTGCGAGATCCTCACAGCCCTGGATGAGAGCGAATTAGTCTGTTCCCGGGGGTAGACAGCAGAGACAGGGTGTTAGTGGAAGGGGATGTTGGTCGGGGGGTCGGTGTCAGGATCTCTCGACCCTTTCAAACCCTTTCATCGGCGCTTCACCCGCTTACATAATGCAGCCACTCTAATTAAAATAAATTACACTCTCGCGCGTCAGTTCGCTCTTCTCTCTCTCTCTCTCTCTCTCTCTCTCCCTCTCTCTTGTTCCCTTTCCGTATCTCTTTCTCTCTTAGCCTCACACCCGTACTCACCCTTTCTCTGTGTTCTCCCCCCCCTCTCTCTCTCTCTCGCTTCCCTTCCTCTTTTCTCTCGACTAACTTTTTTTCGCTCTCACCCTGTCGCTTTTTTTGTACCGCACTTTCGACCACCACCCGGGTAACGCCCCTCTCTCCCATCCTCATTCTCTCTCTCTCTCTCTCTCTCTCTCTCTCTCTCCCCCTTGCTCGTTTATTTGCACTTTATTCGAGATTTAATTTACCGACCTCCGGCGACAGCCTCGTTGGTGCGCGCTCGACTCTGTGATGGGATTAAAAAGGCGGGTAGGGGATGATAGGATGGAAGAGGCTGAGCGGTGAGGGAGAGGTGAGAGGATGGCGTAAAAGTTGGAAAAAGAGTAACGCGACCGCGAGCTCCGCGACCAATGGAGAACGAACTGCCGGAAAATGGCTGAACCAAGGAAAAAGCGAGGAGGCGTACGAGGGGCTGAGGGGGAGGGGGGGGGAGGCGGACGAACAATCGATATCGCGGCGTCTCGATTCGGAGCCGATTTTCAACTCTCGGAACAGCCCAACATGTACCTGCCACCACAACATCGCGATGGCGCGAGGGCTTATACATACAGTAAATAACGGAATCGATTTCGATTAAACGTTTAAAATCGTTTCTGTTTTCGTGATAACAGGATCGCTGATGCGGTTGCAATGCCAGCCTCCGGGCTACGAGATACGGGGTGATTTTTTTCCGCAATAGAATATTTGATTACAATTAACGTTCGGTAAATCATATCAATGTCATTGTTCTGAAATAAGTGACGAATAATGTCGTGTGTGTGTGTATATATATATATATTGTAATTGCATATCCGCGTTAATGTTTCGCTCTATAAAGAGATTACTGTACAAGATCAACATTAAGCTGCAAAGCGATAACATCCAATGAAAGGAATAATATCGTTGAATTATCATGAAGTATTCTCGTTACTATTCCGACGGTTGTTTTTTAAATATTTCGTGTTGAAAATAGAGTTATTCATTTATCTGCAAATATGAACGAAAGAACGTGCGCGCGAAAAAGAACTGCGGGGACATAATAATATATATCTGGCTTTACAGAGTAAGCAGGTAATTTTCGTGAAAATGCGTTCACATTACAGCGAGATGAATCAACATTAACGGTCTCCCATACGAGTATTATTCTCCTCGTCACCATCGAGAAAGAGAGAGAGAGAGAGAGAGAGAGAGAGAGAGAGAGAGAGAGAGAGAGACCACCAGTTTTCGCGACAATTTACCGCGAGCTGTCCGAAACGAGGCGTAAGCATCGCGCAATTCAATTTAACTCTCGCTTGCATGTCCACGAGGGGGAGAGGCCAGGTAATAGCTGGCAACTCCCGCCTTTTTCACCCGTCTGTGCGAAGCAATAGCAATAAATAAATATTCCGCGGTCCGTCCCTCCCTTCCATCCCCATACACTTCCCCTGCCTTTTTACGCCACAGGGGGCAGTCGTGCTTCATGGTGTTTTATGGATTTGTTACGAGTCGACGCTTTTTGGTTGAGAAGGGAGTTTCTCGCACGCGGAGAGAGTAGCTAGATCTTTTCCCGTATTTCCTCTTTTTTCAGTTCGCGCAACGAGCGACGACAACATATCCCAGTTATAGGGACCGCTGGCTTCTTTCCCGCATCCTCGAAAAGCTCCGGGATGTTCCGCAACGTACAGAGGAAATATTTCCCGGGTCGTGAAAGATCCTGAAAGTAAAGAGGCAACGCACACGCGAGAGGGAGAGAGAGAGAGAGAGAGAGAGAGAGAGAGAGAGAGAGAGATGAGAAGAGGGATGCAAAAGGTAAAGCTCTCAGGAATGAAAGAAGACGACTTTACTGGTGCGCGAATAATAACGACTCGTATTCTCTCCGGCTGTCGTCGGTTTTCGATTTGAGACGCCAACTTTCTTTCCTTTCCATCTCTCGTCTCTTCCTCTGCACACACACACACACACACACACACACATATATATTCACTCTTTCTCAAGACTTTTTTTTCTCCTTTCCATCTAGCTCTCCGCGATAGTTTGCCTCTTTTCCGCAAGCACCGTTCTTCCTCTCGTCGATCCAATCACGAGATCGGATTGCATGGAAGAAGGGTGGATGGAGGTGCAAGAAGGAACATGAAAATGTAGTTGGGTAACGACCCGCCGAGCGGAATAGAAGTTTTATCGTACAGCCTGCCCCGTGCTGCGCTGTGGAGAGGACGTATAAATTCAAAGTGACGCGAGAAAGCGGATCGATGGGAACGTAATTCTTCGCTCCTCGGAACTCGGTAAGTACGGCGTCAATTTGTTCGATGGCTCGGAACTCCCTTCCGTTAAAAAGAAGACGATAGACGCCTTCGCGCCAAGATCGGACCCTCGATCAATACGGTATACATGCGGTGAAACGTCTTGATAAAGTAAGGGAGATATGAAATTTCGAAATAAAAATACACACGTAGTTATAGCTTTTTAAAAATTCATTGCTATTATTATTAATACATTAAACAGGAGAAGTAACGCGTAACGTGGCTCGAGTTCTGCTAAGGTGTTCATGATGACGAAAGGATAATAGAGAAGGTGAAGAAGAAAAAGGGTATGTAGGTAGGTGAATAACAAGATTCACCTTTACAGCAATCAGTAATATTATACGGGGTGAGTAACCCCATTAGCATTCATATTTCAATTTCACAGGCCTCGGAGTCGCAGTTTGAAACTGTGGAAGGTACTTGGTTGAGCGGTGAACGGAGGGGGGGGGGAGATAAACGGAAGAGAATTCACAGAGAAGAGCCAGAGGGGAGGAAGCGATGCGGATGAGAGGGAGGAATACGTAGAGGGTGAAAGAGGAGAACTAATATCGATAGCAACCTATTACCATCTATCTCCATACCGATGTAATGGACGCGCAGCCCCGATTATCAATCCGTAATAATTGTGCATATTAAACGGGCACTAATTATCGGGCTGGCAGCGTGCCGCGGGCGCCATCGCCATCGAATTGAACGAGTTACAACTCAGCGCGGTCCGTTTCGCTCTTTCCCTCCATCCCTCTCTGTCCCTGTCTCTCTTTATCCTCCCCTCCTCCCCTCCCTCTCCCTCTCACTCTCTCTCTCTCTCTCTCTCTCTTTCTCTCCCCCTCCTGCAGTTTCACCGCGACCGAAAGAGGATTAATAACCAAAAAATCATCGCTCGCCCGGGCGCGAAAATATTGGCGAAATCAAATATCAAACTGTATTTTTCTCGATTCGCCAAGTAGTTCGGGAATTTTTCAACGAGTGTGAAACCTTAATCGCCTATTCGTTTCGCCGCATCGCATCGGTTAATGCGGGAACGCTGTTACGACGCGCGGGACCGTTTAATCGACGCCCGAGCTAACTGCGCACATCGATATTCATCCTGGAATAAAAAAAAAAGAGAGAGAGAGAGAGAGAGAGAGGAAAGAAAAAAAGAAAAATGGAAGAGGCGGGTGGGAGTTCCGACCGCGGCTGATCGATTCTCCTTCCTCGCGCGAGCCTTTTACCGAACGATCGATCGATCGGGTAGGACCGATCTCGCAGGACACTCGAGAGACCTGAGAGGCGGAGAGCGCGAACGGCGGTGCCCTCGAGCGCTCTCGAGGCTTTTTTCCTCTCCGGAGCGCTTTTAATAAACGCGCGCGCCGCAACCAGCGGACGCTTTATGTTATCGAAGAAGAAGAGAAACGCGGAGAAATAGAGAGGCCGAGAGTGAGTGAGGGAGGGAGAAATAGAGAGGCCGAGAGTGAGTGAGGGAGGGAGAGAGAGAGAGAGAGAGAGAGAGAGAGAGAGAGAGAGAG